GCGCGGCCGCGGAAGCTGTCGCCGTGGTCCGCGTCGCCGCCTCGGCCGTGGTGGTGGCAGGTGTGGTCTTCCATTGGCTCACACCTCGCCGTACCCGTAGAATGACAGGCGAACGCCATCTCCACGGTCTTCAAGGTCCATGGCGGTTATGCGCATCCATGCGCCAAGGCTTCCACCGCCCTGCGCTAGCTGCTTGAGATCGACCTCGAGCATTTCATGAGTGGACTACCTTGGTGTATGCGTGGCAGATGCTACGGGCTCTTGGTCACACAGCGCGCGCAAGGCCTCGTGCCTTGATGACTTGGTCGGATACGTGAAGCTGGCACAAACAGCGTCATGTAGAGCGCAGCCGAGGCGTGTTCGTTCAGGCATCGTTCCTGTGTACCTCTGGCTCGTGCAGAAGAAGCGAATTCTCTTGCTCCGTCGCGAGTGGGCAGCGTCGCAAGGTTGGCACCGACCCGTGAGCCAAGGCAGGAATGTGAAAGTAAATGAAAAGCCCTTCCTGCTGGCGATAGCTACTGGCGATGGGTGCAAAGACAAAGAACAGCTTTGGAATCAAATGAGCCAATCGGCGGCAACGATTGTTACCTGTGAGCTCTGATTGGCGGTTGGCATATCCTGCGCCGACCGAATGCTACCGGTATGCATCGAGAGGAAGAAGCCGATGCTGTGGCCACACCGGAAACAGCACGAGTGGGGTTCCTACAGAGCTAACAGTGTGAATCGTATACTTGCAGGTCTCTTCTCTTACCTACTACTAGTAGTAGTCGAGAAGCGAGCGCGACGCCCTTCAACGCAGTCGACGCTCAAAAGTACCAGGTATATTTCATAGCTCAACTGCCGTCGTTTCCGTGGAGGTGTTGTTCGCACGCCAACGCAGAGGGAGCATAACAAGGTATGGCGCTTCTTCTACTCGATACGTAGAAGGTACCCACATCGGCCCGTCCAAGTGCAAAGGGCCAAAGACTTTTGTCTCTGCTCGCCAGTCTTGATCGATACCGTTGTAGCTATCTCGATTGCCGCCTATCCAGATGCGCAGAACGATGAGGAAACCTGTCGACCGATGGACTCGAAGCGTCTACCAGCCTGTCAAGCAAGTGGCAGGTTCGTGCACGACAAACACCCGAAACAAGCGCCAAACGGGCCACCGGTACACTATCAAATTCGAAACCGACAACGAGACAGGCGGTGTGATGTGGTTTGGCGTTAGCCCACTGCGCTGGAATCGCCCTGCCGGCGTCCGGCCGCGCACCAAGCGGGCCCGCGTCCCGATGACGTCAGCATCGTCGTCGCTCACACCCGTAGTGCCCGTCGCCAACCAACCATCGACGTCGCCCCATCCCACGGTCCTCGCTTCGTCGCCCTCGTCCTCTTCAACGCGATTGCCGCCTGCGGCCGAGACGCCTGATCTCGGAAAATGCGTCTCGCAGACGCTCTACGGGCACGCGGGCGGTGTCTGCGCGCTCCTCGCCTCGGACGATCGGTACATTGTCTCGTGCTCGATCGACATGACGCTGCGCATTTGGTCGCGCGGCTCGTTCAACTGCCACCACGTGCTCAAAGGCCACAAGGACGTAGTCTGCGCGGTCGCTCTCTCCAAAGAGCACCTGCTCTCGGGCTCGCACGACCATACGATTGGCGTTTGGCTTTGCGCCAAGGACTTTCGCCTCCGGAAGCGCCTCGATGGCCACAGCGGGCACGTCACCAAGGTTGCTTTCGTCAACGCCATAACCGCGCTGAGTGCCTCCGAAGACCACACGCTGCGGCTCTGGGACCTCCAGGCATATGTCTGCCTTCGTGTTCTGGAGGGCCACCGCGGGTACGTATCGTGCTGGCTGCTCCGCCTCCCAACATTGCGCTGCTGGAGCGGCGCCTCGGACGCATCGCTCGTGGTATGGTCGTTGGAGTATGATGCCAGCGGCGCGCCACTGCACACGTTTCCGAGCTACCACCGCAAGACGGTGCAGAGCATCCTGCAAGTCGACGACACTGTGATTGCGAGCGCGTCGAACGACGGCACGATCCACCTATTTGACGCGACGACCTTGCATCTGCTGCGCACGATCGACGCGGGCGTTGCCATCTACCAGCTCCAGGTCTCCGCCGCCGGGCACCTCGTGGCCTCCACAGGCCACGGCCACCTCTTTGTCTATTGCAACGCAGCAAGCACCAAGAGCGAGCGAGCGCAGCAAGCAACGAAGAGCGTTGCACTGCAGACGTCGCAGTGGATCCCGCATCTCAAGGTCTGCGGCCGCTTTGCCGCGTGCGTCGCTGAGAGCACCGTGTACGTAGTTGACCTCGAGACGCTCGACGTCGTCGCTCGCACCGATACACAGCAAGGGCTCATCCATGCGATCGAGTGGCTCAACACAGTGTCGCTGCTCGCATGTGGCAAGGACGGTGTCATCAAAGCCATCAAGTTCCCGCACCTGCCGCTGTAGCACCCTCGTCAAGTTACAAAAGGCAATGTGAGCTCATGGTGTCGATGTTGTTGTGTTGTCCATCCTCGTATGTCTCGCCCGCTATCGCCGGTCCTACGACCTGCTTGTGCTACGTTCGGTCATGTATATGCAGCTCGTTGTTGAACATCGAGCTCGTCCTGTCATCTGCAAAATTGCGAGAATACTGCGTCTTGCGATCTTCTTGCTTGCGGCGCGCGAGCATGTCCACCGTAGTTCTCGCTCAGTGCTACGATTGCACGATGCAATGCACGTTATGATCCTGTCCATGGTTGACAGAGGCGCCAGCAGCGTAGGTACGCGGGTCGCGTTGTTGACTTCATCGGCCGCATTGTGCGCGCCATGCGTCGTCCGCTCCTCGCCTTCGACGCCGCACGAGCGCACGTCGAGGCTGCTTGACATAGCACATGTACCCATGGCCCATGGCATGGTATGGTACATTGGACCGATCTCGACGGCGCGCGGCCGCACGATGGCAGGCGGCGACGATCCGGGCGACCCGCTGTCGAGAAACCTCTATCTCACAATACCCCATCCTATCAGAAGACGGAGGCTTTTGGCTTTTTTTGGGCGGCGGGACCACGAATGGGATTTGACTCGATTAAAGTATTGGTCATTTGCATTTTGGCTTTCCAATGTCCAGCGTCCGCACAGTCAACCCCAACGCCGAGGTCGTCGCCCGCTCCCAGGCGCTCCTCGTCAACGTGAGCGCGGCCAAGGGCCTCCAGGGCGTCCTCAAGTCGAACCTCGGCCCGCGCGGTACGCTCAAGATGCTCGTGGGCGGCGCCGGCCAGATCAAGCTCACGAAGGACGGCAACGTGCTCCTGCACGAGATGCAGATCCAGCACCCGACGGCCGCGGTCATTGCTCGCGCCGCGACGGCGCAGGATGACATCACGGGCGACGGTACCACCTCGACCGTGCTCTTCACGGGCGAGCTCCTCAAGCAGGCCGAGCGCTTCCTCTCGGACGGCCTCCACCCGCGTGTGCTCGCCGAAGGCTTTGAGCTTGCGCGCGAAGAAGCGCTCCGCGTCTTGGACCAAATCAAGGTACTCGTGGATGCAATATACCATCATGGCTCATGCGCGCGGACAGGTTGAGAAGAAGGATATCTTGCAGGACCGCGAGCTCCTCGCCAGCGTGGCCCGCACGTCGCTCCGCACCAAGCTCGACCAGCAAGTACGTCGTCTGACTGTCTTCATCAGATACTTATCGTTGCTGTAGCTCGCGGATCAGCTCACGGAGATCGTCACGGACGCTGTCCTTACGATTGCGACGCCCGGCCGCCCCATCGACCTGCACATGATCGAGATCATGCACGTACGTCTCGAGCCTCGTTCGCCTTGCCGCAAGCTCAAACGTCTTTCGATGCAACTAGATGGTGCACCAGAGCGCGGCCGACACGCGTCTCATCAAGGGTCTCGTCTTGGACCACGGGTCGCGCCACCCGGACATGCCCACGGAGCTCGAGAACTGCTTCATCATGACGTGCAACGTCTCGCTCGAGTACGAGAAGAGCGAGGTCAACTCTGGTTTCTTCTACAACAGCGCCGAGCAGCGCGAGAAGATGGTCGAGGCCGAGCGCAAGTTCACCGACGACAAGGTCAAGCAGATCATCGAGCTCAAGCGCCACGTGTGCACGGACGAGAACAAGGCGTCGTTCGTCATCATCAACCAGAAGGGCATTGACCCGCTCTCGCTCGACATGCTCGCGAAGGAGGGCATCCTCGCGCTCCGCCGCGCCAAGCGCCGCAACATGGAACGCCTCACGCTCGCTTGCGGCGGCATGGCCATCAACTCGACCGACGACATGGAGCCCAACATGCTCGGGTACGCTGGCCGCGTCTACGAGCAAACGCTCGGCGAGGACCACTACACGTTTGTCGAGGACGTGCGCCACCCGCAGTCGTGCTCGATTCTCATCAAGGGCCCGAACGAACACACGATTGCGCAGATCAAGGACGCGATCCGCGACGGTATCCGCGCCGTCAACAACACGATCGAAGACAACGGCGTCGTGCCCGGCGCCGGCGCCTTTGAGTTTGCTGCGCACCAGGCCCTCTACGCGTTCAAGGAGACGGTCAAGGGCCGTGCCAAGCTCGGTGTCCAGGCGTTTGCCGACGCGCTCCTGGTCATTCCCAAGGTGCTCGCCGAAAACTCGGGTCTCGACGTTCAGGACGCGCTCTTGGCGTGCCTCGAAGAGCACAAGGCGTCGGGCAAGGCCGTGGGCCTTGACCTCTTCTCGGGCGAGCCGATGCTGCCGCTGTCGGAAGGCGTTTTGGACAACTACCGCGTGAAGCGCCAGTTTATCCACTTGGCCTCGGCGCTTGCGACGCAACTGCTGCTCGTTGACGAGGTCATGCGGGCAGGCCGTCAGATGGGCCGCAGCCAAGAGCCCCAGGGCGCCGAAGAGTAAGAAGATATTACTCTTGTCATCCGCCCGGTAAAGTAGGTTAGTCGTAATACACAACAGTTGAACTATGCTAGGATTTGTCCTATCTCGATCTCTCGCAGCTCTTGAGCGATGAGCTTTTGTGCTCACTTCGCACCTTGTCCATCGAGCAAGCGTTGTTGCTGGCCTCGCGCAGCAAACATCGAGGTGTGCATGTTCCAGTCCGCAGGCGGCCGTCGTCGACCACACCGAAGTGCGTCGGATGCTACCAGTGGGATGCTACTTCCAACCCCAGCGTCGGGCACGACGGCCACAGAAGCAACGCGATTGGACATGGCGGCCCAGGCTCTCCAGTCGGCTCTTTTGAGCGAGCGAGGCTTGCGGCAGCGAGGCCAAGGTGGCGGCCGGCTGCTGCTCCTGGCTGCCGAGCGTATGCAGGGTCTCCAGGCGCTGCTTGGTTCGAAGCAACACTTTAGTGCTTTGAATCGCAAGTTGATTTCGGCCGGCTCGAGCTTGTCGACGGCGACGAGCAGCTTTTGCCACAGCCAGCGGTGATCATTGGCGTCGACTGCGTCACCCCAGAGGTACCTGTAGTCGACGAGACGTGCCTGCGGCGACATCAATCTGTGGGGCATGGTGTATGAGTCAGCAAACGTAGGATAAAATGCAAATCCATGCGAGAGACAGCGCAGTGAGCGTCGTGGGTGGCTGGCGCCGGAACGCGTGCAGGCCCTATGGCAGCGAAAGCGCTGGCATAGACGACTGGCACGATGGACGTAAGCCTACCTGTGGCGGCAGCGACGGCGGCGGTGTTGAGCGTATCTATGATCCAAGTCGTAGAGGCCATTACAAACCTGAGGTGTCTACCGGAAAAATCTGTCGAGCGGCAGTATTTGAGCTGCCGCATCATCACGATTTCAAGCACCCTACGCAACGATGCATGAGGCGCACAACGTTGATGCAGGACGTACACCAAAGCGACAAAGAGTGACGTGAAGAGAGCGACCGCATGTCTCGCTTCGATGCACATCGAGCAATCAACACCGTCAACGTTGTACGCCAAACTCTTGTGCGCGTTCCAGTTTTCGACCTGTGCGGCAACGTCCGGTGGCACCGGCACCACGGCGTCAACCGTGCGCGAGACGACCGTCGCGGCGAGAGTGCCGACGTCGTCGTTGGGCCCGACCGAGCGGACCAAAGGTGCCGCACCGAGAAACGTTGGACCGGACGCGACAACGCCCGGTGGCACCGGCACCACGCCGTCAACCGTCCGTGAGACGACCGTCGCGGCGAGAACGCTGACGTCGTCGTTGGGCCCGACCGAGCGGACCAAAGGCGCCACGTCGACAATCGTCAGCCCGGACGCGACAACGTCCGGTAGCGCCGGCACCACGGCGTCAACTGTGCGCGAGACGACCGTCGCGGCGAGAGTGCCGACGTCGTCGTTGGGCCCGACCAAGCGAACCAAAGGCGCCACGTCGACAATCGTCGGCCCAGACGCGACAACGTCCGGTGGCGCCGGCGACACAGCGTCAACCGTGCGCGAGCTGACTGTCGCGGAGAGAACGCCGACGTCCTCGCTCCTCGCTTTTTAGCCCAAGAACCGCATCAGTTTCGATGCCCACACGTGTCGCCACATTGACGCGCAGCAGTCGTGCCGTATTTCAACGTTTGAAATGAAAAGGCCTCCTTGCAAAGCACTTCTCAGCGATCCTTTTTACTCAAGAAGTCAGTGGGATGTAGCCGCTGCTCGTGCACACGCAGTTCGTAGGGAACATGGTCAGCTCGAGATCTGCGTACGCCTTACCACGAGGTGATCGAAGCAGCTCTGTACTTGACAAAAACGGTTGCTCAAGACGGAGGACGTTGATCCACTTGTCATCGCAACTGTCGATTTTCCACACATTCATCTCAAGGTCTACACCACCCAAACTTACTTTCGATGCGCCATCTCGCCGCAGAGTCGCCGTTGCACTACTGGGTTGAGTGCGTGCTTGATACATCGCTATTGAAACTTGATACATTCCCACGGCTGTTGCACTGCCACGTACATTGAGCACCCGATGCATCGGACGCTGTTGTGTACGATGATGTTTGTGGGCTATAGCAACTCGAACGGCATCATAGAGCCCCGACTCTCGCGTGCCAAAGCCCGACTCGAGCTCCCGTCACATGCCAATACCAAGCAAGATGGATCATCAACAAGTAGCCGTTTGCAACGAACCAGCGCTTGACATCGAATGAATCTGTAGGGTAGATTGAAGCGGCATCTACCCGATGGGATCGCCAAACGCTTTCTAATCCCTTGACGGGGCGTTGCTCCACTGCAGTGAGTGCCCATAAGAAAGACTGGGGCCGGCCACAAAGCCAAATGTCAAAATAGGGTTTGCAGAGACAGCGTCTGTCCAAAAGGTTAGGATCCACAGCGCAAATCTCTTGAGGTGAGCATCGGTATCGACGCGTGCGACGGTGGGCATTCCTTTGCACCCAATCGAGTCGACAAACTCGAATTATCCTGCTGGAAATCCAACGTCTCGAAGTTGTGATCAAAGTTTCAAGTGCTGCGACAAGAACTTCGTCGCTTTTGTGATTTGGATTGAAAGAGCTTTCAACAATCGTCGACAACGCTCCAACGCCCACATCTCGATGAACGAAAATGCAATGCATCGATTCCTTGGTGAAGTTCGGCGTTGAGCAGTGTTGCATGTGATACATGCATCAGAAGAGCGAGTTGACGACGTCGTCGAGGTGCATGGGCCTCGATGCATTGCAATCACCCGTTCTCTGCATGGCACTGTAACACAGTGGGCATAACTTCAAGGAGGCGCCAAGGTGCCTACTGTTTGCGTGTACTCGAAGAGCCTAGGCCCAGCGCGCTCCGGGCTTGCTCGTCCGTCGCAAAAGCTTGCATCGCTCGTTCAGCGATCACCCTTGAACGATACTTTCCAGCACGTTATGGCGAAGAGTGACTGACGACTTCAACGAAAAAATCGCTAGGATTTCGACCGCGACGCCAGCGACGGAGCTCGTATCCGGATGTAAACGCCGTCGAACGCCACTGGCTCCAGTGCAGCCTCAACGCAGGCACCTTCACCCTTCGGGCATCGCCCTCCATATAGACGATGTGAACCTACCATCGTACCACAACGACATGGCGCGAGGCGAGCGTGTCGGTCGTATCGCCGTCCGTCGCCCCAAGATCGCCGAGGCGCCAATCACATCGCGCTATTCAACGGTTACCAAAATGGCTTGCGGTGATTGGTCCAATTGGAAACATACATTGACCAAGTGGTGTTTTTCACAGTCGCAGAAGTACCACCACGATGGCAGGACGAAAGCAACGCCCTGCGCATCCCCGCGCACCGTCGACGCGGGCGCCAAGAAGAAGAAGAAGCCGATGACCCAGAGCCGTGGCGCCAGTTCGTCAATTGGCATCTCGTCCATCACGGCCATCACGCACCTGTTTGAGAACGTCGATGTCCGTGAGACCGTCCCGGCTTACCCTATCCCGAAGCACGCCTTCAAGACCACCCGCCGAGCGACCGATGACCCGCCCAGCGCGACTTTCAACGACTCGCCCCCCGCCAACGTCGTTAAAGTGGTCGTCTCGGCTATCACGGGCACCGACGGCTCGGCGGTTCGAGAGGCAAACACAGTACCATGAAGGTCGCTTGGGCATCGCGCCGGGGCGCGCGCTTCTTTCCTCCGGAGATTTCTATTCACTGCAGCACGGCAGCCATACCAGTCTTACACCGTAGTATTGAGGTCCACAAGAACCACGCGCCGTCGCATCGACCATCTTTGCGCTTCAATTGCATCGTCAGGTACGGTATCCGGATGACCACACGTGGGAAACTGGGTGGCATTTAAAAGTGTGAAATTACGACATGTGGAATGACGTGGCACCATGTCCAGCGACCATTTGAAATGCTTCACGTTGAGCATTGCCGGAAATGGTACCCAGATTGGAACAGAGAGGGCCAACGAGTCTGAGCCCTACTGGACACAGCCGAGCTCTAGTAGGCGTAAAGCGTGATGCACAATTATGCTGGTCGCTCGCAACGCTTGGGGTAAGTGGGAGCTTCAGCCTACCGGCAGCAGTAATTGCAGACCTTATACCCGACCGAGCGGGTTTTCGACCAACCTGCTGAGAAAGGACTCGGGTAAACGGAAACAATTGTATTATGAAAGCTCTAGCAAAGCGAACTAGGAGTGCTCGTGTGCCCCATGCGCCTTCATAATGTGTCTCATCGTGTCGTTGGGTCGTTGGGCTCGGGCGATCGACGAGTCGCTGGAACTGCTTACGCATGGCCGCATCATTGGCCTCAGAGGCTCGGAGTGTTACGACTCGATGCAGACTCGCCGTGAAGTTGTACATATCGACTTCGCTGAGAATAAGGGTACCGAGCTTGGGCATCTTGGAGCCGCGCAGCGGTGTGTTCGGGAGGCGCTCGAGACCTGCCTTGGCGAGGCAGACGTCGAACGCAGACTCTCGAAGCTCAAGGTTGCGGAAGACGGTGTTGGCTTCGGGCTTTGAGGCCGTTGCAGCAAGGAAGATGTCGACAAACGCCGACCGCTTCTCCGCGTCGTACTCGAGGGCATCGAGAACGCGACGGGTCGAGCTGCACGTGGGCACTGGACCTCGCAGCGGCGAGGACGCGCCGTAATTGCGCGTTAACAACCGGCGCTGGTAGCGCGGCAGTTCAAAGGCCTGGGCAGCGTCCATGAGGACGTCCGAGAGGCCTGAGACCGAAGGCAAGTCGTGCGTGACAAGAGTCGAAAAGAGCACCGGGAGCAACGACAGGACCATCTTCTCCCAGAGGTTCTGAAGCATCGTCGTTGGCCATGGCTGCGCTACGAGTGCTAAAGCGCTTGCGAAGCCCCACACGTTGCGCATGTTTTTGCTGGAGATTCTGGTGAGCGCATCGGCCAGCGCCGCTCGGCGCTTGCTGATTCGCAGCTGCGGGTTGCGCTTCGTTGCGCTCACCAACGACGGCGCAACAACGTCGAACGGTTCGCGCTGCATCCAGTAGGCGACGTGACGCTCGATCGTGTTGGCCGGGAGGAGGTACGTGTCGATTTCGATGCACAAGATCGTCGGGAGCGTGTTTGTGAACCAACCTTTGCCCGACAAGACGTGTGCTTCGAGAAGCAAGACGGACGAAATGCACCCGCGCGCGTCATGACAGTCTCCAAGGTCACCCGGAGCGGGAAGGTCCGTTGTGATGACAGTCCAGCATAGCTTGATGAGCTCCAAAACAAACGGAAGGTCCAGTCGAGGGCAAACGGGGTGATCCGCGACGCCGGCCAAGCTTGCGACGAGGCGGTAGCCATGGCCGAGCGGACGGTCCAAAGCGTACATGCGCCACCGAGTGAGCATGGTCGCCATCGCTTTTGCCAACGGTTCCCAGCCGACGGTCGTCAATGTCGCGTGCAGCCAATGCGCGACGGTCGCCAACGGCATCGACGACGCGATGTCGAGGTGATCGGAAATGAAGTGCGACGTCATGGCGACGTTGAGCGTAGCCAACGCGCTGCCGAGGATGTCAAAGCTCGTCTTTGTCGTCTTGCCGCCTGGATCATGGTTCTTGTGCTACTGGGCAGTGTAAGTATGACCCCTGGAGAATCAAACGAGCCAATCCAAAGCGATGATGGGAGCTTGCACGTTCTGATTTGGTTATTGCGACACCCAGCTCCGTAAAGGGGAATAAAGCAGCGAGCAGACACAGTGGAGGAGGACCTTCAAGAGAACCGGGAACAGCACGAGTCTAGTCGCTAGGATACACATTAGCTTGGAAGCTGGCTCGTTGCTGTCAGGGCGCAGCGACGAGCCGCTACGAGTACGTACACAGCGACCGCCGACGCAATCCTACGTTGTGAAACCATAGAGTACTTCGTACTCTACTCCAACGTCGTTGCGATACGCTCGCCGTAAACCAAACGTAAGGCTCGTGGTTCGTACCAGCAAAGCCCAAGGTAGATAGACGATCGTGACCGCCAACAGTACAGTGTAGTGTAGTATGTACAATCAGATTCAAGTTCTACGCTTCGTTGACCGTGTCATCTCGCTCCGTGGACTTGGCCGTCGCGCGCTTGGTCGGGTTCAGGCGGGCGCGGGCGCCATGGTTTGTGACCTTGAACTTGCCGACGACGTATGGCGCTTCAATGAAGGCAAGGATGCGGTCGTAGAGCTCGAGGCCGAGCGGCTTGCGCTCGACGCGGTTGCCCCATGAGATGTTGAGGTTGACGGGATGCCCCTTCTCGAGGAAGTTCTGGACACGCTTGTTCTTGACGAGCTCGTCATTTGCCGCGATGTTGGCCTTGTACTCGACGTCCTTGTCGCCCTTCATGCGGTTCTCGACCACCGTCTTGGCCGCGGACGCCGACTTCTTCTGAAAGTCGTACATCTTGCAGAGCACGATGGGCGCGGCGCCGGGCACTTTGGGTGGCACGAGCGCGACCTGCACGAGATCGACGCCCTTCTTCTTGGCCTCCTTGACGGCAGTGCGCTTGTCGACGGCCTCGCGGATGATGCCGTCCTCGTCGACGATGTTGACGACCGGCGCACGGATCTCTTCGTTGAGGGGCACGCGCTTCGTGCGGTTGGCGCTGAGGAACCTCGCCGGCGTCATGAGCGGCAAGGCCATCGGCGCAGCCATGGAGAGCATCGGCGCGCATCGGCGCAGCGGCGCGGCTCGCAGGACGACTCGTTGGAGCATGCTCGTCGGATTGCGCACCAATAATACAAGCTGGCAATGCAGTATTAAATCCTAGAGGTTGAAGCCGCCGGAAGTCGCGTGGTGCATGGGTGGAAATATAAAAATACAAGGGTATGCCGTGTCCTTGTGACGAGGCTGGCATGCCGAGTGCAATTGGTATACGTATATATGTACACAATGTCGATGTAATCTAGGCTAATGCTTCGTAGTACGAGCTTCGTAGGGAACGGGCTACTACTTCAGAGCCCAACGGAGTGCAATGATTGCGCAGTTTAATGTTGAGGTGCCCTGAAGCTTTGGGTTCTCAGGCGAACGCGTTGCGTCTAGTATGTCCTGCTCAAGGATTCCGTCTAGCAGGTGTATTGCTGTCTCGTTGACTAGATGCGAGTCGTTGCCGTCGTATCGATGTCGCTTGCTTTTGCCTCCGACGGGATCAGTGTTGGTGCAGACGACAAATTTCGGAGAATCGCAGCGTAAATTCTAGAAATGACGGTAATTTCTCGGGTTCGAGGCTCAACCTGTGCCAATTTATTATATCGAGTTTCGAGAGGGTCGGCCACGTTGCCTTGCCAAAGCCGCTCATTCTGCAATCCATGAGCCCGTGGCAAGTCTGGGAAGAAATGGCCGGTAACCTGAAGTGGGTCGTCTTGAGCGTCCTCGTCGTCTTTGCGCTCTTCGGCATGGTGACGTCGTGGGGCGGCGGCGGCGGCGGTGTCTCGGCCAAGGCCAGCCACATCCTCGTCAACACGGAGGCCGAGATCGACGACCTCTTCACGCAGCTCAGCGCGACCGCCGACGGCTCGCCCGAGCAGTTCAAGCTCTTTGCCGACCTCGCCAAGAAGCACAGCAAGTGCCCCAGCGGCGCGCGTGGCGGCGGTGCCCTTGGCTCGTTTGGCCGCGGTCAGATGGTCCCCGAGTTCGACCGCGTTGTGTTTGAGGACGATGTGGGCAAGATCCACAAGGTCAAGACGCAGTTTGGCTGGCACCTCGTCCTCACGACGGAGCGCACGGACCCCGAAGAGAAGAAGGACTTGTAGGCGCATCATAAGATCGAAAGGAATATACTGAACAGTGATCTCTTGATGCGAGCATCGATGGTATCGCTACTAGTAACACATGCGTCGACGGCCATGAGAAACAGAATTGTTACTGGGTCTATGAAGCGGCTATCGTACTGAGCGCGCGTCTGTGCTACGGATGGTACTACGAACGTTGACCGTTCTTGAGCGCAATGGCCCAGCGCAGCTCAGGCACGATTGTCGTCTTGCCGTTGGGGATGGCAACGACGACATCGGTGGTGTCCCGCCACCCAGTGAGTCGCCCGATGGCATCGGCCAAGGTCCAGCTCGGCTGGACGTCAACTGGGTGGGGCGTCTCGAGGAAGCCGTAGCTCATGTGCCCAGCAAGGAAGACTGCATCGTATTTTCGCCCGTCGTTGTCGTTGACGGCCACGTCGACCGTGAGGTATCCCGGCGGAATATCATGCGCGTTGATGATCGGAAACTGATTGAGAAGGAACCGACCGGACGACAGCCAAACGCGTCGCGCGTCGCCCTGCCACGTCCCGTCTTGCTTGATGACGCAAAAGACGCTGAGCCAGCCGCTTATGTAGTTGGGACCCGACCCGCCGTGCCAGTGGCAGATTTTTCTCCAAAAGCCGACGTTTGGTTGGCCTCTTGCTGCTTGCACAAACTGGTCCAGGACCGGCGCCAAGAGGCGCGACCACGCTTGGAGGCACGTGTCGAACGTCGCGAGCTTCTCGACGCGCGCGCGGATATTTTGCCAGTCGCCCACGGTCCCGAGGAGTGTCACGAACGGAATGCCACAGCCAAAGTGAAAATTGTGCGCAAAGTACTTTTTCATGGTCGCCATCATGACGATGCTGCCAACCATCGTGTCGGTCTGCGTCGTCGTCGAGAAGCCGGGGAGGACCCAGTCTCGCAGCGTCGGGTCCACGAGATGCTCGCTCATCAAATCGACCATTTGATCAACGAGCGGACCAAAATCGGCCGCGCGCATCGAGCCAGCACGGCAGACGTTGAGCTCTTTCTGTCCTTCGTGTCGGACAAAGAGGTGGCGGAGGTCCTCGGCGTGACCGTTGACGTACAAGCCAAACTGGGTCATGATCGCAAGCCAAATGTCGTCGGGACGAAGCACGAGGTTGTGGTGGTTGCTGTATGCTTGAACGACGCCCATGACAAAGCCGCTCTTGCTGTGCACGACGGGCGTCTCGACGGGCGGCGACGAGAGAATGTCGTAGCAGAAATTAAACTCAACAAGCGACTGCACGGGATTGTCTGTCGTCGTGTACTGGTTGCTAGCGCTCACAGGTTTCGGCGACACTGCGAACGTGACCATGGTGGCAGCAACGGCCAAATGCAAACTCTAGCGTCACGGTGGCGCGCACTCAACAACCGACCGGCACAGACAAGCACACAATTCTCACACGTGTGATTTTCGTAATACTTGTGCGCTGTATGTGTGAGGAGTCTTTTTCACGTATATCACACGAGTGGTGGTCATTCGAGTACACGTGGCAGGTTGTCAAGGGGCCAGTTGGGAATGCATGTCGTTCGCCCCAGCGACACGCGCAAGGCAATCCAGCGCAGCAACTAAGACAGCCACGGTGGACTTGTTCAAATTCGGTCGTGTCATTTTCGATTCGTTGTCATGACGACGTTTGCAGTCTCTACCAAGATGGTCGCTGCTTACACGGGCGCGACGACGCACGACGACCCAGTACGGTCGCTGCTCGAGTACACGAAACAAGACTGCGAGAGCATTCTCCAGTCGTCGCCTCTCGAGGACGCCATCGTGCACAGCGAGAGTGGCTTTGTCTTTGGTGCCATTCAAGCGTACAACCAGCACCACAACCTTTCCATTCGCCCCGACGACGTCTGGCTCGCAATCACGATCCAGTTTGGCTTGTACGTCAATGGTCACGCCGAGGACCTCCGCCACCTCTTTGTCCGACACGAAGGACAGAAAGAGCTCACAGTGAAAATGTCTGGCTCGATGCGCTCGATTGAGGTCGCGGATCTTGCCGCGCAAATGCTGCAACAGATGGATACGCACCTTGCGGATCCAGCGCTGAGAGCGTGGTTGCTCCCATGCTTCTCGACGACAACGGAAGACGACAAGATCGTTGGGAGCATCGTCTTGATGGCGGCCATGAAGAAGTACTTTACCTACAAGGCCTGTCTCGCCTGTGGCATTCCGTTCGTGACCCTTCTTGGGACCGTGCAGGACTGGGAAGACATTCGCGCGCGCGTCGACAAGCTTGCAGCGTACGGCGACCGTATGACCGAGTGGTCGGCAATGCTTGCACCGATTTTTGACCAGTTTGTGCTGGCTGCAAAAGGGCAACCTGACGTCGGGTTTTGGAGCCGAATTTGCCACGAGTTCGGCGGCCACTCGGGTCCACGGTACATTGGAGGCTGGCTCAGCGTCTTCTGCGTGTTTGATCAAGTCGGACGGTGGCAAGGCGAGAACAGCGCCATCAATATGCTTGACGGGAAGCTCCGGTCGCGCCTCAAGGAGTTTCCTACCGTGTCCATGGATGACATTCCACCGGGCTATCTCACAGTCGACGTGGCCATCGACGACAACGGCGAGATGTACAATGCGCTCTTCTTTGGTGGGCACATGAGCTTCGGTTTTGAGGATCCAAGCGCTAGCTCCCGCATGCGTCGGGTTCGGATTATTGGTGAGCGTTTTTTGGATGAATCCCGAGCGTTTCAAAAACGGAGGTTTCCTGAGTGGAATCGGGGCGGCTTGAGCGGTTTCTTAACGGCTAACTGAACGACTAACCGTAAAATGGATGAGCTCTGAGCGGTTGATACGGTTTGCAGATATCGGCGCATTTCGAGGTTTTGCCCATAGCCAGGAGGTTGCACACGAGAGCTTTTTCGGGACAAACCAATATTAATTAAAAATTTGTCACCAGTGTGGCGCCAAGCGAAACGCGGGCACATTGGCTCCGCTCCATGCGCCCCGTGACCTACTGTTGTCGAGTGTCGTCGAGTATGCACCTGATGGCGGCACGTCCGCGGCCAACCACCATCTATAAAAGCGTCTGAAACCGACGACGCGACGGCCAAGATATACGAGTATGGATGATTGTATGGACGGATGTGTTGGCCGTAGGATGGATATAGAAATATGGATGTATGTATGATCTTCAATGCCGCCAGTGCATCGTGATCTATATTTGCGCCAGTGATGTGTGCCATCCTCCAAGCTTCATTATCGAACAGAACTCGAAGACGACACTCTGCAATGGCTCGCGACCCCTTTATCCAGCTGGGGAGCTTCCCCTTGCGTGAACTAGCGGACGCTTTCGTCGAGAGGCATGCATTCCGCAACCGATTCGTCTACGATGTCGCCAATACAGCAAAGACCCCGAGCTTCTCGGCCTCATGCCTACCAGAATGCAGATCAAGAACAGATCTGCGTATCTTCGCACCAACGAGCCTGGTGGGTGGGACTACGAACACTTTGCCGACATCGTGGCGTGGGCCCACGAAAAGCGATGCGAATCCAAGGTCGCTTTCTTTGGCGACGAGATCCCAGCGTCCGAAGACGATATGGTGCCCGCTATTGCTCGCATGCAGCCCGGACGCAAAAACGAAGTGATTGTTCTCAAAACTTTTACCCACGAGTACGCCGACGAGCGTGGTGGTCCTGCGACATCGATTGGGGTAGTCACGTCCTCTCGTGGTTTGATGGGCAACATGCTACGATGCATCAAGGATCAAGAGACCGACCTCTTGGTGTCGAGCGACGGGACGTACAAATTGCACTTCGGGCAGTGGACCTTGGTGGACGTCGGCTCAACGCGCATGGTCTATAGCGAGGGCAAGAGCGTCTCGTCATTTGTGCCTTGGGCGTACCTTTTTGTCCGCTCCGAGTGTCAACACGCGTACGCCCAGCTAAATGAGACGCTGACTCGCTCAGCCGAACTCTTTTTCGATGCACGTCTTTCGCCCGACGTCGTTTGCATGGACCACGCACCGGCAATCCGAAATGCGGCTCTTGAAGAGTGGGACGAAGCACGACCGCTTGACTGCTGGCCGCATTGCATCCGCAACGCCCGCAAGACACGCTCGAAGCTCAACGTTGATGGGCAGTATGAGGCCATGATCAAGCCGCATCTGCATTTGCTCCATCTGGCACGCAACAGCAAGCAATTCGACGTCCTTGGGAAGAGCGCCATTGCATTCTGGACAGATGAAGGAGAAGCGACCTACGCCGAAGCTTTTGCAGACGAATACCTGTCCAATGACTGGGGCTCGTGGCACGTTTCGGCGAGCGATGTGCCGGGCGTGATGGCCAACCAAAACCCGATCGAGGCGCACCATCGCACGATCAAGCGCATGGTCAAGTGCAAAGCGTCGACTGCTCACGTCTTAAACATCGGCCTTCCCGGTATGTCACGTGCATGGACCCACAATTTGTACATTTACACAATGTAGCTATTATCGCGATAGAGCTGCCTCATGGCGACGGTGGGCCCTTCAAGAACATTTGTGCCCAACCAGTATCGGCCCGACAATTGCTCGATGCCGAGGAAATTGCCAGCGACCCCCGCAACTACGCGGCAGCTACGGTCGAAGGCATCGGCAGTGGTTACGTCGTCAACGCGAGGAAATACGTAGTGCGCCCGTTCAACATCAACAAGATGACCGTAACCAAGGGTCGCGTCAAAAGGTGCTTATCCCCACTGCAAGTATCAAGATTTCAAGTTTAGAATCATCTTAGGTTCTGCGAATCTCTTCGGGGCCATCTCGGCCATCTCCCCGACTTCAACGACATGGAGAAGCTTTTTTTGTCGCTGTATTTCGTGTCGGTCGACGAAGCCGTTGGTCCCATCCCAAGAGTCATTGACCGAGCGTGGACTCTTGGCGAGGTATGATATTATTACTCATGCTTATTCCGTATTCATTACCTGGTGTCCGTAGATCTACATCATCCGTCGTAAGTTTAAATGCCAATGCAAGGGCTACTACTCGACGGGATGGCTATGTGTCCACATCTTGGCTGTCATGTCGCTGACCGACGACTTGGACCTTGATGTGGCGTTGACCCTTGTCCCGGTGCGCCGGGGCCCCGGACGTCCCGCGCGCGAGGTGAACTGCCTCGACCGGTTCCGCAGATCGCGCGGCAAGTTCAGCCAGGCAAGACTCATCAAGCAGTTCACAGAGAAATCCGCGTCGTGCTACGGCTGGGTCGTTGCGCGCCAAGGTAGAATCACCAGCTGCGACGGCACCCAAGGACCAGGCCTCATCTTCGGCCTCATTCTTAAGCCGCGAAATGGACCGATCTGGACCTGGGAAGTGCGCTACACCGATGGCGTCCTCGCCGAGCACGGTGCCCAAGCTCTTGCAAAGGTCGTCGCTTTCTCTGCCGAGCAAGGAGTCAACGTGACGTCGCACAGGCTCAGCAGCATGGTCCGCCAAGAGTTTACGTAGCTCCCGTAGACGAGGATATACATTCATACATTCAAAAGATGGATCATTTTAGTACGGGGTATTACATGTAGGGAGTGCCTCTATTTATAATTTGTGCAGGGGACGTTTGTCCCAATAACCCACTCATAACTCATCCAACACGACGGATGGATATTGAGTGCTCTCCAAACACTCAGGCCGCCCCAATTTCACTCAGGAAACCTCCGTTTTTGAAACGCTCAGGATTCATCTAAAAAACGCTCAGAAGTAATATTATCCCGCATGCGTCGTTGTCGTGGACGACGATGCTCAAACAACTGCTCTCTGGCGGCTGCTTGAGCTACCAGCGCAAGACGACAATAGTCCCGCGCCTTTCCTGGACGATCGCGCGCAAGAAAAGCACGTCGTAGAAAATGCAGCAAATTCTGATTTGTAAAGATTGCCTCGAGTGATGGTCGAATCCGAAATGCGTTGACAGCAATCCCACTGCCAGCTTCCCCTTCCCTTTCAATGAAACCCGACCTTGTCGTGTCATCTGCTTGTGATTGGGCGACTCCACCAGAGCACTCGATCGTAGGGCAGATGTACGGACATCACGACTGTAGTGTAGTGCTCCCGCGACGCCGTCGTCGCAAAAGCGCTTAAGTACGAACATTTGCGCACGGTAGAGCACCGATCACAATCGCGAACGGCGACAACGGCAGATGCTATCGCCGCCGACGAAGCCTTCTTGGCGGCTTATAAAGAAGAGTGCATCGTCCACGACGCTGCTAACTCTTCTTCAATCCTACGACACAGCGCACGTTGGGCCATGAAGCAGCCATCGTCACAGTACCCAAGGCGGCAGTGACGGTAGCGCCCATTAAAGTCGTCGCTACGACCAAGACTGTTGCGGAACCGACCGATACTCTACGCACCACGTCTGCAGTGCCGGCACCACAGGTGCACACTCTTCAACCGGCGGTGCAGCCGTCGCTGGGTCGCCCGCTCCAGGAACACGCCAAGACGTCGCCACCATCTTACCAAGAAGCTACCACCCACAGAGCCCGTCAAGAAGGTGACGCCCAATGAACCCACCAAGACTGCACCCGTTGTGCTCGCCAAACCTGCGGCGCCGATAGATGTCCGCGCGACGCGTTGGGCTACGTCACCATTGAAGCCGCCAACGACGAGCATGTCGATGGAGGAAGATGCTTTACGTCGTGAAATCGCCCAGCTCGACTCGAAGCTCGGGGGTCTTCGCCAAGACGTGG